GGAGAATGGGTAGATGGATAAATGGATTCATGATGGGTGGGCAGGTGGGTGGGTAGATGGATGGTGGATGGATGGTGGGTGGATGGATGGACAGGTGGTGGATAGATGGATGGTGGGTGGCTGGCTAGGTAAGTGGTGGATGGGTGGGGTGGACGGATGGTGGATGGGTGATGGATAGGTGGATGAATGGTGGGTAGATGGGTGGATGGATAGTGAGTAGATGAATGAATGATGGATAGATGGATGGTGAGTAGATGCATGAATGGATGGATGGTAGATGAATGAATGATTAGATGGTAAGTAGACGATGGATGAATGGATGGATAGTAGATGGGTGGATAAACTAATAAAATAATAACCTGGAGCCTAAATAAAAGGAAATTAGAATAGTAAAGGGATTTATTTCTTCCAAGAGGAATCCCAGCAACTCCTCTTTTCTTCTAAAGGAAAGTACTGAGATCATGGTCATCTGAATAATCCATGGGAGAAAGTACCACACTGAGTCTTGTGTCATCAACGAAAAACAGAACTCTTCAGAAGGAGCCACCCTTGGCTGTTGGTATTTTATTCGATTCCCCAGAGTGGCCTACCTGGTACTGTGGCAGGGATCTTAAAAATCACATATTTTGTCTTCCCCTTTTCCACAATGGATGTGCCCATGTTGAGAACATTTCCAGCCTCATCATAATGGGGATGTGACGTTGCCAGATTTACCGCCACGTATTTACGATAATCAACCTGCAAGATATGACACCTCCTGTTTTTTTTTAAGTATTTACGATAATCAATCTGCAAGATATGACATCAACTGGTTTTTCAAAGGAGAAAGGTTGAAATCCCGTGAAAACGTGACTGATTCTAGCTTCAGAGAGATGAGGGATATTTTTGCACATCTGAAAACGTTACAGAATTTGCTTTTAAAGACTTTCACTCTCGTGACCTGATACGACTTCACTTGGGGATTTGAGGGGCTCAGACAGTTAACAGGTTGCAGGGGAGTTAGGGAGCTGGTATGCTTCTGGGGCTATCATTGCAATCCTGCTGCTTGACCTTGCTGAAATCCTCAACATGGAAACAAGATTCCTCACTGCAGAAAGATCTGAGCAATGACCTGGGCAGAGAGGTAGCCTTCGAGCTAATCTTGGCCACAGCTCTGTCATTCTGGCTTAAATTCTGCCGTTTTGCATTGCATAGAAGCATAAATCTCTAGGCCTCTCTTAGAGGATTATTCTGGGAATGGAAAGGTTACAAAAACACTTGGTCAAAGTGAAGCTCGATGAATGAGCTGAATAATCACCCTCACTCTGCAATCCAGAGCTGCAGAATGATGGAGCGGCCGCAGACCAACCGTCTGCCCTTCCTTCCCTAGAAATACACAACCTCCAGCCCAGAGTCAGATAACCCCATTCTCTTCCAGCATTTCCTCTCTGTAGCCCTGTGGAAAGTGTCATCAGTTGGACTGATGCCATCTAGCTTAAAAGCAGCTGGACATAATTTCACAGCTAAGAAAAGCCTTATCTCTTTAACAGATCGTTAAAATGTATTGCGGAGACATCGGACTTTTGAACAGGCAGTTGGAGAAAATTGAAAGTGGGTCTATTGATTTTCACCAAAATGTTGACTTGATTCTTCCCAGGAAATGTATGTGCTTGGGCACTTATTTTTGTGCCCTCGCTTTTTGCCTAATGCCTCCCTCTTCAGGTCAATAGAAGGTAGGATTTCGCTGAGAATCGCAGGTGTTTCAACAGAGTCATTCATTCAAATTCTCACTGAACTCCCTCAGTACCAAGAATTATGAACACAGTTACGGGTTGAATTGTGTCTTGCAAAAAGACAGGTTGAAGTCCTCACCCCAGGTATCTGCGAATGTGACCTTACTTGGAAATAAGGTCTTTATAGATGTCATTAAGTTAAGATGAGGTCATACTGCAGTGGGGTAGGCCCTAATGCAATGACTTGTGTCTCTGTAAAAGGCAGAACATGGTTGAGCACGGTGGCTCACACCTGTAATCCCAGCACTTTGGGAGGCCAAGGCGGGCTGATCATGAGGTAAGGAGATCAAGACCATCCTGGCTAACATGGTGAAACCCCGTGTCTACCAAAAATCCAAAAAATTAGCTGAGTGTGGTGGTGGGTGCCTGTAGTCCCAGCTACTCAGGAGGCTGAGGCAGGACAATCACTTGAACCCGGGAGAAGGAGAGTGCAGTGAGCTGAGATCGCGCCATTGCACTCCAGCCTGGGCGACAGAGCGAGACACTGTCTCAAAAAAAAAAAAAAAAAAGAAAAGGCAGAACATTTGGACACATAGACCTGTAAGGAGAGGCAGTGTGAAGACTGAGGCAGAGGCTGGAGGGATGCATCTACAAGCTGAGGAACACCAGGGGTTGCTGGCAACCACTAGAAACCAGGAAGGGGCCAGGGAGAATCCTCCTCTACAGCCTTCAGAGAGAGCATGGCCCTGCTGACACCTTGGTTTCAGACTTTTAGCCTTCAGAATTGTGGCACAGCAAATTTCTGTTTTTTTTGGTTGTTGTTGTTTGTTTGCTTTTGTTTTTGTTTTGAGACAGTCCCACTCTGTCATGCAGGCTGGAGTGCAGTGGTGCAATCTGGGCTCACTGCAACCTCCGCCTCCCGAGTTCAAGCGATTCTCCTGCCTCAGCCTCAGAGTAGCTGGGATTACAGGCACATGCCACCACGCCTGGCTAATTTTTGTATTTTTGGTAGAGATGGAGTTTCACCATGTTGGCCAGGCTGGTCTTGAACTCCTGACCTCAGGTGATCCGCCCATTTTGGCCTCCCAAAGTGTTGGGATTACAGGCGTAGGTCACCACGCCCGGCCAATCTCTGTTGTTTAAAGCAAACTTTTTTGTAGGACTTGGTTACAGCAGCCCCAGGAAACTGAAACAGACACAAAGATAAACACAACACAGTCCCTGCCTAGCATCTAGCACTAAGTGTGGCGCTAGGGCACGGGATCCAACGGTGTTAGAGGAGGGACCCCTCTGGTGAGCTCCTTTCAGGCTGAGCAGCCTCACCCCGGCTGTCCCCGACCCTCCCTTTCTTGAGTCAGGAAGTGATGCTGGGTTACTTATGTGTTGATACCTTCTCCAGGGTTTCCAGAGTCTGTGGGTTGATTTTCCTGATGTAATTGGTCTCTGAGGTCGCATAGAAGTCTTCTCCGCACTTCATGATGTTGATCAGGCAGTTGTCTGTGAAATCGGGGATGGTGTGAGACAAGTAGGTGAAAGCTCTGGGGAGAAAAGCAAATCAACAGAGTCAGTGGCTGTGTCCACCCAGCCAGAGGAGTCTGTCCTTGATGGCTTTCTTTTTCCCAAAACGTAAAAATGCTTTACTTCAACTAAGAAAGAAAAAGCAACTGGGTCCCAATGGGTCACTTGAGGAATCCTAAGAACTCAGATATCAAGTTCCCCAAAGACATCCCCAGGTTGAGTCAGCTAAGAAGTGAGTCAGCCAGAATGCCATGGTCACCCGCTGATCCCTCTCGGGTTCCCTAAAACCCAAAGGTCTCCGACATCAGAGCCAGCAAGACATACTGTTCCAAAGTATGTCAAGAAGTGTTACGGAAATCATACATGAACCCATAACGGCTCCCAAAGCCTAACAAGGCAGCTGATAACGGCTTTGCCAGGAACGTGAGTCCACACTGGTTATCTCGAATTTATCCAGGAAATTAGTTTTTAATTTAAAAAGGAAAACAAACTAATTATGAGTTAAGAACACATAGCTCATTTGCTTAGAAGGTACACTCGAAGCAAGAAGAAAGAAAAACCAGAGGGGTTTATCGGTGGTGAAATTGGCAAATCCTGGATCGTTTTACTGGGGAGTGCTCCTCCTACTGGCAAATACTGGAACAACAAGGAGGATTTGTTCCAGGACCTCCAGGTCATGGTTTTAAATTCCTGATTATGGTATCTCCCCTACCAGGTAAGTATGGTTGTTTTAAACTCGTTTACTCCTTCCTCCTCCTTTCCCACTGGCTCCTGCCCCACACTTCCTATTTGCAAATGTGAATTCAGTGCTTGCTCTGAGCCAGCCCTAGAGCTGGATACTGGAATGGGAGAGATGACTTCAGTTCTCAAAAAAGCAGAAGCAATCTTCCATCTCTGGGCCAGTCTACCCTTCAACTCTTTCATGACTCTTCTATGTCTAGAGAGTTTCAGAAAGAAGATACTGATGGCAGGCCTGATTCCCTGGCCAATAATTTAATTGTCAAATATGTAACACATTCTTATGGATCCTAACCCAGATTATTTAAAATGTATGCAGTGGCCAGGTGCAGTGGCTCATGCCTGTAATCCCAGCACTTTGGGAGGCCAAGGTGAGTGGATCACCTAAGATCAGGAGTTCAAGAGCAGCCTGATCAACATGGTGAAACCCCATCTCTACTGAAAATATAAAAATTAGCCTGGCGTGGTGGTGGGTGCCTATAATCCCAGCTATTTGGAAGGCTGAGGCAGGAGAATCGCTTGAACCTGGGGGGGCGGAGGTGATGGTGAACTGAGATTGCACCATTGCACTCCAGCTTGGACAACAAGAGTGAAACTCCATCTTAAATAAATAAATAAATAAATAAAATGAAATAAAATATATACAGCAAAAAATCTCTCCCTCTCCTCACCACCCATCTGCCCCACATCCCCTACGCATCCTTTCGTAGTTTCTTTATGCATGTACAAGCAAAATTTAATCTAGATTTCTTCCTGCTTTTTCACACAAAATGCGTCTTATAACGTGCTCTTTCTACACCTTCCTTTTTTTTTTTCCCCCCACTTAGTCTATCTTGGAAATGTTCCTATAGAGCACAAAGAGAACGTTCCCCTTCCTTTTTACTTCTACATGGCATTTTCTTGTACAGTTTTACTGTTACGGATTTAACCACTCCTCTTTTAATGAACATTTGGGTTGTTTTCAGCTACTTGTTATAACAAAAGATGCAGCCATAAATGACAAATACCTGCTGCATGTGTCATTTTGTATGCAAGCAATAGACCTCTAGGCTGAAGGGAATGTGCCTTTGTAATTTTGACAGATGATTCCAAATTCCTTTCCCACCAGCCATGTGGGAGGGCTTCTAATAATCTGTCAAATGCTCTTAGCCTCTCTGGCAGTCAGTGATCAAGAACTGCGTAGCACCTCTGGTTAAAGGGCAGTCATGTGGCGTTTTCGTACACCCTAATGAGAATTGTTAGAGGAGCAAATGCTGGTTATTTCAGCCATCAAGGAGAGCAAAAGGCATGAAATTTGCTCAGATTTAAAACAGGCAGTTACTTGGAAAATATGTTTTTGCAGGGGTCCGGATAGGCCATTGTTCCAAATTCAGACACCACAATCCTGTTTGCCTCAATATTGGCGTTGTAGGTATCGCTTCTCAGGTATTTGCTCCTGTAATAGATTTCACCTGCAAGAGAAGAACCAGCATACTCTCAGGCTGACAGCTTTACAGGGCTTTGAAATCAATGTCAGGGGTTTTATTGGGGGAAGGAGGTGGTTATTTCACCAGGACAAGCTCATTTAGTACACAGGGCTGATACAATTAGCATTTGAAATATAATTTATTTTATTATTATTATTATTATTATTATTATTTGAGTTTCACTCTTGTCATCCAGGCTGGAGTACAATAGTGCAATCTCGGCTCACTGCAACCTCCGCCTCCTGGGTTCAAGTGATTCTCCTGACTCAGCCTCCCAAGTAGTTGGGATTATAGGCACGTGCCACCACACCCAGCAGATTTTTGTATTTTTAGTAGAGATGGGGTTTCACCATGTTGGCCAGGTTAGTCTCGAACTTGTGACCTCAGGTGATACGCCCACCTCAGCCTCCCAAAGTGCTGAGATTACAAGCATGAGCCACTGTGCCTGGCCTGGAATATAATTTTAGACACACATTTTCTCACTTCTGACTCACAACAGTATGGCTGGATAGGTAAGTGTTACGGTTTCGATGTTTTGTTCCTTCTACATCTCATGTTGAAGCCTCTGATGTTGAAGGTGGGCCTAGGGGGAGTGTTTGGGTGATGGGGTGGGTCCCTCATGAATGGCTTAGTGTTGTCGTGGTGATGAGTGAGTTCTCTCTATTAGTTCATGGAAGATCTGGTTGTTTAAAAGATCCCTCCCTCCTCTCTCTCTTTCTCTCTCACCATGTGACGTGCCTGCTCCCCCTTTGCCTTCCGCCATGAACCAAAGCTTCTTGAGACCCTTGAGACCCTTGCCGGAAGCCAAACAGATGCTGGTGCCTTGCTTCCTGTACAACCTGCAGAACTGTGAGCCAAATAAACCTGTTTTCTTTATAAATTACCCAGTCTCAGGTATTCCTTTATAGCAATGCAAAATGTGCTAATGCAAAATATGCCTGTTCTTAGTTCCATTTTCCATAGGAGGGAACTGAGGCTCGGAAACATTCTATCGTCTTGCCCAGGGTCACCCGTCAGAGAGTGCTGACCAGGAATCATTCATCCCTTCCACCCTGTTTGTGTCCCTCCAGGGAAGGGGCAGAGCTGGAGGACTAATCTAGAAGGCTGCATATGTGGGGTGGGTTTCCCCAGGGCCCCGTTCAGTCCTGGGAGCCCTGCCTCCGGAAGCCTAGTTTATCACTTCAGTCTCTCTGGAGTAACGTTTGATAGTGAAGGCAACCAGGAGGCGACCTAATGCCCAATCCTGCGTACCAATAGAGGGTCAGACCTGTGTTCAATGTGTAATTCATCCAGATTCTTCAGAGAGTCTAACTCATGGCATAAATCTCTTGACCAGTCCATTGAGACCAATCTGAAAACATACCAGATGGTTCTAGACCTGTGTTAGTTTTCTGTTGCTACCGTAATGACTTACCCCTCACTTGGTGGCTTTACACAACACATATTCGTTATCTCAGAGTTTGGAAGAAAGTCTGAAATGAGAATTACAGAGCTAAAATCAAGATGTCCACAGGGCTAGTTCCTTCTCGAGGCTCCAGGAGAGGTCTGTTCCTCACTTTTTCTAGCTTTGAGAAGCTGCTGCCTTCCCTGGCTCATGGCTGCATCACTGTGACCCCTGTCCCCTGTCCCAGTATCACATCTCCTCTGAGGCTGACCCTCCTGCTTCTCTCTTGGGATTACACTGGGTCCATCCCTAATTTCAGATCACCTCCCCCATCTCAAGATGCTTCACCTAATCACATCTGCAAAGTATCTCTCTTTTTTTTTTTTTTTTTTTGAGATGGAGTCTGACTCTGTTACCCAGGCTGGAGTGCAATGGTGGAATCTCGGCTCACTGCAAGCTCAGCTTCTCTGATTCAAGTGATTCTCCTGCCTCAGCCTCCCCGATTTGCTGGTGTTATAGGCATGTGCCACAACGCCCAGCTAATTTAAAAAATATTTTTAGTAGAGACAGGGTTTTGCCATGTTGGTCAGGCTGGTCTCAAACTCCTGACCTCAGGTGACCCACCTGCCTTGGCCTCCCAAAGTGCTGGGATTACAGGCGTTTGCCTGGCCTGCAAAGTTTCTTTTGCTATGTAAAATAACACATCTAGGCCGGGTGCGGTGGCTCACACCTGTAATCCCACCACTGTAGGAGGCTGAGGCAGGTGGATCACCTGAGGTCAGGAGCTTGAGACCAGCCTGGCTAACATGGTGAAACCCCATCTCTACTATAAATGCAAAAATTAGCTGGGCATGGTGGCACACCCTTGTAATCCCAGCTACTCAGGAGGCTGAGGCAGGAGAATTGCCTGAACCCAAGAGGCGGGGGCTGCAGTGAGCTGAGATCACACCACTGCACTACAGCCTGGACAACAGAGAGAGACCCCGTCTCAACAACAACAACAACAACAACAACAACAAACCCACATCCATGGATTCCTCGTGGGGCAGGGGTGAGAGGAGGTCCTTCCCGGCTGGGAATAAGTCAGGAGAAGTTTCAGGGAGGAGGTGGTGCATTAAATAGCTCTTAAAGGATGAGAATTTGACTGCAGTATGCTGGGGAGAGAGGGCAGAGCTGTCCCGTTCACCCCCTAAGAGGTCTGTAAGCAAAGGCCCAGAGTTGGGAAAATGCAGATCCCTTCTTGCAGGCACTGAGTCCAGCTGGGCTGGAACATTAGAGAGGGATTTGGAGCACAGGAGTGAAATGAAATTGCGAAATGGGTTGGGTGGTCCTACTGGGTTTGCAGGCCTGGTAACTTTTTTTTTTT